TTTTTGTAGGGGGATCGAACACACAGGGTTACTTTACTACTGAGCTACATTCCCAGCACACCCCCCTTTGTGTGTGGTGCTAGGGATTGAACCCAGGGCCTCACGCATGCAAGACAAGCACTCTACCAACTGAGCTATATCCCCAGCCCCCCAGCCTTTTAATTTTTTGAGACAGGGTCTTGCTAAGTTGCTTAGGGCATCAATACATTTTTGAGGCTGGCCTCTAATTTTTGATCCTGAGGCCTCAGCTTCCCAAGTTGCTGGGATTACAGGCATGTGCCACCATGCTTGGCTTTATTTTTTATTTTAAGACAGGGTCTCACTAAATTGCTGAGGGCCTCTCAAGTTACTGAGGCCAGTTTTGAACTTGCAATCCTCCTGTCTCAGCTTCCTGAGTCACTGAGATTACAGGCTAATGCCACCATACCCAGTTGAGTTTTAAGATATTTTGGAGAGGTGTGCATGATGGTCCATATCTGTAATCCCAGTGACTCAGGAGGCTCAGGCAGGGGGATTGCAAATTCAATGCCAGCTTTGGAAATTTAGTGAGACCCTGTTACAAAGATATTTTGGGAACATCCAAGAGAATATTGGTTGTGCATGCTCAGGAAAGCAGCCTGGGGTTGGGGGTATAACTCAATGGAAAACACTTGCTTGGCATGTGGGAAGCTCTGGGTTTGACCCAGTACCACCAAAAAAAAAAAAAAAAAAAAAAAAAAAAAAAAGAAGAAAGAGAAAGGAAAGGAAAGAGACAGGTCTAAATTAGAGACCCAGATTTATTTTTTGGTGAATGTTGAAATCAGAAGTGGATGACATTTTCTAAGATAGACTTCTAGACTCTTCTGAGGAAGTAGCCAAAGACAGAACCTGGTAATCACCAATATAATGGGTATAGCAGAGGAAGAGAAGACAGCATGGGAGGCATGAACTGAAGAGTTAGTTGAACAAAGAGAAAAGGTAAAAGGGAACTGTCATGGAAACCTAAGGAACAGTGTTTGCAGAGATTGATTGGGTCAAGTGAGAATAAGGCCAGTGGGCTCTGCTACTAGAAAACTGCTGGTGACCTTTGCCTAGGCTATTCTGATAAAGGGGCAGATGACTGTCATGTTGTAGGTGGCTTAATTGGAAGAAAAAGACAGGAGTCATTGAGCTCCCTGAAGGTAGGGCCTGTGCCTGGTGCCTATTGGAGCTATGCAATACAGGTCTGTTTAATGAATGCACAAATAAACTTGGGTTGAAAAGGAAAAGGGGGAGCGCTAGGGTTGTAGGTCAGTGGTAGAGCGCTTGTCTAGCACATGTAAGGCACTGGGTTCAATACTCAGCACCACATAGAAATAAAATAAAGTGTATTGTGTTCACCTACAACTAAAAAATGTATTTAAAAAGAAAAGGAAATGGGGGAATATACAGGGGTAGGAGAAACCGGGTTGGTAGAATGTTTTATTTAAAGATGATCATAGTTTGCAAGGGGGGAAAATAAAAGCCAGTAAAGAAAGTGATGTTCTGGCTCAGAAGACCTAGGTTATTGATGTTTGGGTAGGAAGAATTGATGGGGATGGGGTAGAAGCAGTCACAGAAAGGGATTGTGAAATTATCTGCTTGAGAGGAATAGTAGTAGTAGTACAAGATTTTGAAATAAGTGCTTGAATTTATTCATTCTATCCTTTTAATAAATTCTGAGTATTTTGGGGGTGGGGTTGTGGCTCAATGGTAGAGCACTTGCCTACCATGTTTTCAGAACTTTTCAGGAAATGTTTGGTAGATGAATGGCATGGGGAGGGGGCTGTTGTAGCTGCTGCCACTCTATACCTGGCACCACATAAAAACAAATAAAGGTACTGTGTCCATTACAACTAAAAAAAAAAAAAAAAGATAATAATAAAAATAAATAAATTCTCAGTACTTTGCTGTGGCAAACAGGAGCTGACCAGGGACCTATAAAAGGATGACCAAGTGCCACTGAAGACTTGTTGAAGACCCTAAGCAATCAGCTTCTTTTCCTTAAGCAGGGCTCCAATTTAGTACCTCAAAGGACAAAACTGCAGTTGAGGGTGACGCTTAGTGTCTAGCGTGCTTGAGGCGCTGGGTTCTACTCCCAGCACTACAAAAGTTGGAGGTCTGCCCAGGGACACTCTCTGACCAGGCTCCACACTCTTGAGAAAAGTTCTGGAGCTGCCCCTCCTTGCCTAGACCCCAGCCCATTCCAAGTAATTTCCTCAGGTAGCCCTTGTTCTGTGCTCCCTGCTCTATCTACATCTCTCTTCTCACCCCACTCCTCAGCCCCTTGGAGCTGGGACTGTTCTTTACCTTTTAAATCTCTGCATCTCCAGGAAGTAACTGGGCCCTGACACCCAGAACTTCTCAGAAAATGTTTGATAGATGAATGGCATGGGGAAGGGGCTGTTGTAGCTTCTGCCACTCTGTTCTCTCTCAGATATAAACAGGTTACCCAGCTGGGAGAGAGGACATCTGCTGGCTTGTGTAGCATCCAGCACTGATGCATCTACCTTATCTTCTGAAGGTGGGTTCAGGGGATCTTTGGCTCCAGGGGTCTTTGCCACCCCTCATTTGGGAAAGATGACACGCTGGCGGAGGGAAGGATGTGGTTGGTCCTGAAGCAGGAAGGGAGGGAGGTGTTTGGTCCTGATGGGGTTACCCAACTGCCCATTCTTCATTCCATGTCAAAGAGGCCCCTTTCCTGTATAGAGCATGTTATGGTACAGGAATATTTTTAACACATGTGAATTGAATCCCCCTACCCCAACAACCCTGCAAATAGGTATTACCACAATCTCTTTTTGTGAATAAGGAAACAAAGACTCAGAGAAGTAAAATTTTGCCCTAGGTTACTCAGCTAGTAAGTGACACACTTGAATTTAGGCTTGTCTGACTGCAAGTTCAAGTAGGGCATGTGCCACTATGCTCTCCTTTGTTCCAATTCAGCAGTGCCAAAGAAACCTGAAAAGGGGATGTTTCAAGGTCATGTCATTTATATCTCCCTTAATATCTCCTAGGGTAGAGAAAGGGTATGAGAGGAGCAAAGAAGGACACCAAGTGGGTCAGGGGAATGGTGGGGACCTGGGAGCCTCATAGCCTTGTGGGGGGGGGAAAGAGAAATGTGGTAAAAGCCTACTACCATGGTCTTATCTCAAGCACTTTATGACCACTTGGACTTCTATACTCTTAGTGTGGGTTAATTACTGAATTCCTGGTGGGGACCTGCATAAGGTCTCACCCAGTTCCACCCTTTCTAAGAGCTGGATAAAGGCACAATCCTTGTGGCTTGTTAATGGGGGCTAGCCAGCTACAGTGACCCCTGCTGTGCTGCCTTGAGATTCATCCATGGAACCCACATGGGTTGTAGCCCATTATAGAGGAGCCTACAGTAGGTCCCTTGTCCTCTGTCAGGTTGGGGAGACCTTTGGCTTCTGAACTGTGAGACATATGGAGCCACATGGAATGGCTTATTTTTTAGACAGGGCCAAGGGGAGAGCCAATGGTGGACTGGAGCCCTAGGCAGTGTCAAACTCCATAGCTAAGCATCAGAGGAAGAAGTGTTTCCAGCATGTTTCCCAGCCCCAGGTCCCACTCCAGCATCTTCTCTCTGTGCCCTAGGAAAGGGGGATTTGGCATCTGTAATGACTAACAGGATGGAGGGGCAAGGCTAGGGTGGGTTGCTCAGAATTCTGTGGTTCTAGGGGCTGGGGAGGAAGAATGGGAACTTGAGTAACAGAGAAGAATATAGTGGGATGCTGGAGATACAGTAAGAAATCAGGAGGCAGAAGAAAAGAAGCGTGTGGGGGAGGGAAGTGGCCACAAGAGAGGGATGAGTAGAAGGATCAGGCAAGGGCCATGCTGCACAGTTATCAGGCCTCTGTGCCTCACCATGGCAGGCCTTGGGACTGGAGTGTGTCAGAGATCATGAGGGTCAGGTGGAGGCTGTCTGGACCTAGGCAAGAAGGCACAGGGACTGAGGTGATGGCTGTGGGTTCTGATTGCGGCCAAGGCTCTATTCTGCCATAGCAAGAGGACCTTGCAATATCTGGCACATTGTGGATTGCTATGGAGGGCCCTGGAGGGTAGATGGGCTCCCATGGAAGGAGGGGAAAAGGAAGAAGTATGGTGTCACAGAACAGAAAGGGAGACTGGGGAGGACCTCCTTCATACCAAATGTAGCACCACACATTTTTCAGGGAGTTTGTAGGGGCTTCATGTAGTGGATGGTGGACAGGGCAGTGTTGGGGCCGGTGGTGACTACTGAGCAGGCTGAAGGACTGACCCTCTACCAAAGTAAAACAGTTCAGGGTGGGAGTGGCGATGAGAACAAGCAAGTTTGGTAAGGGCTTCTAGACTGAAGTGTGTATTTTGTGCTGTCCGAGTGACCCAGAATCCTCCTCTCTCAGGTGAAGGCAAGGAGACTGACAGCTGCTGCTGGAACCACAAGCAGTGTGCTGGGCACATCATCCACCCCTTCTCTGACTATGGCCACCGCAACCTACACGTACATGCTGTCAGCCACTGCGACTGTGATTCTAGGTGAGGATCCCTTCTTGAAGGAGAATCATGGCAGAACCAGGTTCAAATTTTCATTGTGGCTCCCTACTTTAGCCTTAGATTTCCCTCTTCAGCTTTGTATGCTGCCAGCCCAGACCTAGCTTATAAAACTTGCTGTGCTCCAAATGTAATGGGGAGATCTTTTGGCAGTCTGGGCCAAGTCTGGAGGAAGCCCACTATGCCCTAGCTTGGTCCCTCTGGGCCCTTGGGGAGTTGTGGAGATGTGTGGGAGTCAGGCTGAGAGTCCTGTGTGTGGCAGGCTGAAGGACTGCTCAGAGAAGACAAATAGCAGCAGCTCCCAAGACACGGGCCCAACCTGCTCCCGTGATGTGGAGTCAACCGGCTTCAACATCATTCAAAACCCTTGCCTTGAGTGCATCCCAGAGGAAGAATGTGTGGAATGATTCTGGTATGGCTGGTGAGTGCTGGCAGGCTAATGGGGAAAGGGTTCCAGAGAGCACTGACCCCCTCCCTGTCAACCTTCTGTTTTGGTCCCCTTCTTTCCAGGTGCAAAAGCTATAGGCCTGTTTCTGTAGCAGTGATCCACCATCCCATCCACCATGAATGTGGGGCAGATGACCTAAATGAAGAAGAGGAAGAGGAGGATCAAAGTAGGCCTCCCATCCCAACTCAGGTGGGACCCACCACAGCGCCCACTGAACCATGCACCAGCACAGTCACTGGGACCCCTGACTCAGCAGCGCCCATCACCATCTGGCGCTCTGAGAGCCCCACAAGGAAGAACCAGGACATCAAGGTGATCAAGAAGATAAAGAAGAAAAAGGAAAAAGACAAGGAGGAGGAGATGACAGATGAGAAGACAAAGCTGAAGAAAAAAGTCAAGAAGGGCAAGTTGACTAAGAAGAAAAGCCCAATGAAATCAGAGTCTGCACCTCCAGACTTGAGCCGAACATTAAGCCCAAGAATGTTGGCCAGGATGTCGGAGTCCAGCCCAGAAAGCCCAGAAGACCTGGAGAGTGAGGATAGTTACAATGACCTGGGTCAGCAAGAGCCCTCCAGTGACGACATCGTAGAGTCATCATCACCCAGGAAGAGAGAGAAATGCATTGCCCATGTCAAGAAAAACAGGGGAAAGACCTCACCAACCAGGAAAGTGATCAAGAGGAAATCTCCCCCAGTGTCCAACCCAAATCTCAGTTGAGGCCAGGGTGCCCAGGGTGAAGAATAAATGCCATCAAGCCTGACACTGACCCGCTCTTGCTTGTTCTCTCCCTCTAAAAGGGCTACTTTGGGGGGAGGTGGTGGGCCCTGGGTGTACTAGAATGAAGGGGCTGGGGGTTACAGGGATTTTGAAGGGCAATCTGGCTTTCAATGAGGAAGTCCATGGGGAGGTGGGTGGGAGGAAAAGGCAGGGGCATAGCACTCTTTCTTCCTAACATCCTAGGACCAGTTTGGAAGAGTACGTCTAGATGGGTTGGGGGTGGGAGGATTGTGAATGAAGAAAAGTAGAGAGAGGGAATTCACTAAGTCTGGGCAATAATGGTCTCGTTCTGACTCCTGCTGAACCCCCAAGTAGCGGGGGGAGAGGGGAAAGCCTCCATCTCTCAGCACTGACTCAAAGTTGTGAGATGAAGCCCTTGTGAAGAAACAGGGCAATCAGGAGCACAGAACAAAAATGGCAGTGGGAATGTAGGAAGGGACAAGAGTCAGTGGCTGGCTGGTCCCAATTAGTGGGGGGAGAGGGGACGATGGGAAATGGCCTCTTCTGGAATGTGCCAGCTCCTACTTCCAGGTCCTTTGTGACTATAAACAGATGAGTTGGGGACCCATATTGGGGCAGAAATCTCTGACTTGCTTAGAGGTTGTCAGAGACCAGGGCCTAGTTAGGAAAGTGGAATAGAGGGAGCTGCAGGGGCTCAAGTTGAGAAACTCAGATTTACTTGTGGCCTTTTATCTATAAGCCAGAGAAGACTCTGGCCCAGTGAGGAAGCTGTTCAAGTGGAGTAACAGCAAACTGACATTTATGAGGTGTCAGGCACTGGGCTGAGCAGTTCATACTGCCCCAGCTTGGTCCTTATAGCAGACTGATGAGGTAGGATTCAGAGAAAGCAAAGCCAGTTTTAAGACAGCAGGGATGGCACAGGTTACAGGGCTCAGAACGGGGGAGGAATGTGACCTCAGGCAGACTGAACAGGCTACCTGCTCTTCTATGAAACTGCCTCTCAGATGTATCAGGAGTTGTTGTCAGGGGAGCCCTTGGAGCTCCAAACTGCTTTGAAAGCCATCCCTCGAAGAGCAGAGAGCTGGAGAGAGAGGGTTCAGCAAGTGCTGTGTAGAAACACTGTTTATTCAAATGACAGGCAGGAAATGTGGCAGCAGCAGGTGGGTAAGGTCAGCCAGGCAGGGGCTAGCAGGTTAACACTGCTCCCTTTATGTCCCCTGCAATCCTGCTTTGAGAGCCACAAAGATGTTGATATCAAGATCAAAAATACTTTCCCTCCTCTCCCTCCTGCCCAAAATGAATAAATAGCATCCCTCTCCCCACAAGAGCTGGGGGAGACACACATGCTGAGCTTGGTACCCTATCATAGCCCAAAGTCAGGTGAGGGCAGAAGCTCAAAATGGCTTGTAGGGAGTAGAATACAAAACTGCTCACTCTCATCCTCATCTTCCCCTCTCCTCCACCATACCCTCCTCCCAGCCTGGTCCTAGGACAGGTGGTTAATGAGGGTCTGGCGTGGGTTAACTGCTGCCTGGCGTATACTGAGCTCAAGCTCACAAGGACATTTAGCCTGTTACCTGTCCAGGCTAACAACCAAAGAAAATGTCATTTAACGCCATTTTATGGACAGAAAAGGATGGGCAGGGAGTGAGGCAGTGGGCGGCCAGGCCCTCAAAGCCTCAGAGGTAACCAGAGTCTGAGGAGCAGGCCCCCTACCGATCCATCTCGTCCAGGAGCGGGGTGGCATCGCCAGCAATGGACATGGGGGTGCTTTCGATCATGGGACTTGGGGAGGGCCGAGGTGTCAACCGCTGCTTCTGTTTCCGCCGTTCTGCCTCCTTCTCCTGTAGCCATTGTTCTGCCATCTTCCCCCAGTCGATAGCTGCATGGCTGTTGGACCTGGGAGATGGAAAGAAGGGACTTTAAGCCCACAACTCAAGACAACATCTGTCCCTTCTAATAACCTGCCCTGTGCCTCCACCTTATACTTACTTTGGCTGTTGCTGCCGTTGCCTGGAGCTGGAAGAGGGCTGGGGCTGGGGCTGGGCAGACTGTGGGGTGGTGCTGGCCTGGAGCTGGTGGTATTGCGGTGTGGTGATGGGCTGGCTCGGGGTTGTGTAGGAGTAGCTGGGGGTCATTAGTGGTGTGGCCACTGGCTGTTGAGCTGGTGTTGGGAATACCTGGAAAGATGTGGACCAGTAAGTGGGGATGGGCTCTGGGCCTGTTTGGTCACTGTGAACTTCTGGCAAGCTGAAAGGTTGGGCTCAAAACAGAGCTTCCCAGGTGACCCAACCCTGAGCAGCATGTGATTCCAAGAAGCAGAAGGAGGCAAGAGGGTTGACAATGGCACATGAGGCCCACTGGTTTTGAAGGCCTTAGGATTCTAGTTGCTTGAGGGTTCCCCCAAGATCTCAAAGGACCCAGTTGAAAGGTCAGGTCCCCTCTATTCCCTTTCCAGTCAAGTGGGCTAGGGAAAAGGAACATCTGTTGGTAATGATTCCTAAGGTTAAGGAAGCCGTCTCTGCATATGAAGCCCTTTGTGGTGGGCACAGCCAGAGGTGTCTATAGGACTTGGGTTGGTAAAAGATGTCTGTTCCCTCTTGCTATTCCCCACACCATATAGATAACCCCTCCCCAAGCCACGTACATGGTAAGCGCTGCTGCCCCCTCCACTGCCTCCATAGCCATACTGGCTGGAGGCCCACTGGGCTGGGGTGGCATTAGGGTTCTGTCCCTGGCCTGTGACAGCAGCAATGGCACTGAACATCTGCGAAGTCATGTTCTGGGGTAGGGCATTCACAGCCCGTGTCAGATCTGTAAGCACATAAAGACAAGGATGGCATGTAAAAAGTGAAAGTTCCTCTGGTTCCAGCCCTTTCATAGACCCAGGCCCGAGTGCCCCACCTGCAAGGTTGATGTTGGCAGGAGTAGCATTGATAGAGGCAGGTGTCCTTGTTCTGCTGCTGCTACTGGGGGTAATGCCTGTAAGGAAATGGCTATTGTTAGTTATGTCCATCCAGAAACCTATTTCTGGCTTCCTAATTCAGGGGCTAGAAGAGGTATTAAGATAGGTGAAGGGGAAATTGCACAGGCCCATTGGAGAACCTTGCTGTTATAACATTCCTGCTCCCAGCTGCAATGACAGCCTACCCTTCCCCTCTCCCCTAGAGGCCAGTGATCACTTGAGTCATGTTCCTCCAACTATACCCTATAAGTCAAGAGACACCAGAACTCACCTGGCACAGGATCCTGGTAATGATCCTTAAACCATCTGAAGAGCCCATTTACAGTTGGGAAAATTTGGCCTCGGTACCGGAATCCTTCAGGAGTCACCGTTACATATTCTATCCTGGGGTTTTAGATGGAAACATATATCAGATTCCACTTGCAGCCCTCTATGAGAGAATGACCAGAACAGATGTCCACCATGTGAAGTAGCCAGAATGGGTGCTGGGGGAAAGGAGAGATGACAAAGCCTGTTCCTGATCCTGTGAGGGGAGCTACACATAGCAGAGTGCAGTCAAGGCCAAGGAGTCAGCAGCCCCTGTGTGCTGCATATAGGCTGTGAAGGAAAGTTTAATGGAGGAATGACATATGAGCTGCAGTGTGAAGGTAAGGGTGAGACCGAGGTCACAGAATGTTAGGCAGATGGGGCTTTCCTGGGTACCAAAGTGTGGGAATTTCTGTAGTGCTCCTGGAAAGTGGTTAATCTGTCCTTATCGGATACTTCCAAGAACAGCAAAGTGGTTAAGAGGAAGGGCTTTGGTTGGGAGGCCGAGGCAAGAAGATTCCAGGTTTAAGGTCAGTCTGGGCAATGTAATGACACCCTATCTCAATATAAAAAATAAAAGGGCTGGAAAGGATTGGGGATGTAGCTCAGTGGTAGAGTGCCCCTGGGTTGAATTTTCAGTACTGGGGGCGGGGGAAGAGAAAAGGAGGGACTCTGGATTCAGTTCTGACTTGAACTTTGCCACTTGTTACCTAAGTGATGCTGTACCAAGATACTAAACCTGAGTTTCTACTTCACTTATAAAATGAAGACAACAGCACTGAAATCCACAGGGTGGATCTAAGGACTAAATGAGCTTACCACAACACCAAACACAGGTTATACTCGGTCAAGGAGAATTTCTCAACCGCCCAAAGATAATGCTTAGTGTGGCAAAGTTCTCACTTAACTCAGTTGAAATCTGCTTACTAAATCTTCTCCAAGTGTGAACTCTGTCACATAAGGAGAATGTGCAAGGAGTCCACAGGAAGCTATCACACCAAATATGTTTCTAGATATATGTCTCCAGCTTGCTCAACTGTTCTTCATGGAACAGTTTTAGTTCCAGAGCCCTGCCCGCTATCTTCTGGAGGCATGTTGGTGAAATCAGAAATGGCTTCTCAGAAAAGGAGCACGACACTCTGGATATGTCCAAATGTAGGGTCTAGAATGTAGGGCTCTTTATCACTTGGCCAATGAGACCCACTAATACAGTCAAAGCAGTGCATCACATGTGGTCAGTAAGGGCATAAGAGCAGAAATGTCCATATCTGGGTGGAGAGCCAAGGGGAGGATGGGGCAGGGCCTGTGTAGAGAAGGCTGGTGTGCTCACCAGCATGTGCAACAGACTAAACAAAGCAGACTAAAGAAACCATTTATCCTTCAGGTTTAAAGAGAGCTAGAGGGACACAGTAGTAAAGGATGCCTTGAGGAAGGCAGCCTGCCAGTCATGTATAGATGGGAGCACAGCAGGAGATGCAGAAATGCTCCTGACCCACACCTTCAGTGTGGGCACAAGAAAGAGTCAATACATTGCAGCATCAAGTGCTGTATATTGAGAGCCCTAGGGAGGGTAAAGCAGGGAGAGAGGAGACCACTGTGCTACTCCAGTCTTGCCAGTCAGGTCAGAGAGTGCCTGGTGTTGCCCATTGCTCTTTGGCAAAGAAGTGAGGTGAAGGAAACTTCTTTTTCAGTGATGATGAATATGTCTTTCTCAGGTTTTTTTTTTTTTTTGTCTCTAAATCATCACCCTTACTCCC